GTGGAGCGACCTTCTCATGTGGGGGATTTGGCCATTTCAGACGTCAATTTCTGATGTCCGGAGAACAACAACCCGCTCAGACTACAGGACGAGGAGGAGGATCTGCCCATTTTACTAATAAAGAAACTGACTCACAAGTTAAGTATGACGTAGGTAATAGTGATAATCATGTGTTACTGACTGATGATTATTTTGAATATGAACAGGGCCATGCAGAAATCATTGTGAAGGATAGGCTTAAACAAAACATTGCTTTTTGGCGTCAAATCGGAAGTTCAGACTACGTCAATGATATCAAAGAAAATGGATACAATATTCTGTTTTATTCAACACCACCCAATACGGTTTTAGGCAACAACAAGTCTGCGAGATTGCACAAAGAGTTTGTATCAGAGGCTGTCTAAAAATTACTCAAAAAAGGTTTAGTGGTGCAGTGTGATATAAAGCCTACATTTGTTAATCCTTTGTCAGTGTCAATCCAATCTTCAGGTAAGAAGAGACTGATCTTAGACTTGTCATGGGTCAACAAGCATGTATGGAAACAATCGGTGAAATATAAAGATTGGAGGACAGCCATGATGTACATAAACAAAAATGACTCGCTTGTAAAGTTTGATATTCACTCGGCTTATCACCATATTGACATATATCCTCTTCATACCCAGTACTAATGTTTCTCATGGGGGACTGGTAAAAAAAAGACATATTACAAGTTTTTTGTTTTGCCATTCGGGCTTACATTGGCGCCTTATGATTTCACCAAGGTGACCCGTCAGTTGGTAAAGTATTGGCGTTACAAAGGCTATAGAATTCTTACTTTTCTTGATGATGGTATTTTGTCCAGTGATTCTATGGCTAATACTACAATTATTGGAAATGCTGTCAAGCAAGATCTCATGAAGTCCGGTTTTGTACCAAAAAGTGAAAAATCTTTGTGGGCTCCATGTCAGGTTATGGAATGGCTAGGCTTATTAATTGACACGAAGTGTATGAAATTATCAATCCCTCATCGGAAGGTTGATAAGCTACATCAGAGTATCATCCCGTTATTGAAAGGTAGCGGGTTTGTCCCAGTTAGAAAAGTGGGGCAGGTGATAAGCATGAAATTGGTTGTAGAATTTGTCACTCAGCTCATGACTAGGGCTTTGTCTATGTAGACGGTGAGTATAACATCATGGAATGAGTTTGTTGTTTTGACACAGTACAGCAAACATCAACTTGAGTTCTGGTTACATGAGATAAATAAATATACAGAGAGAACATGGTGTGATCAGTCTATAGTACAGGAGTGGTATACAGTGACGCCAGTAGTGTCGGCTACAGAGGGTATTGCGTGCAGTTTGGTGAGGAGCAGTCTCATGAGCAGTCTCATGGGCAGTGGTCGGTGGAAGAAGCTGTGTTGAGTTCTACACACAGGGAATTAAAGGCAGTGTATTTGGTTCTGCAGAGTTTTCTCCCTTTGCTGAAGTCACACAGAATCAAATGGTTTTCTGATAATAAAAATGTTGAATCGATTGTAGCTAAATGATCTATGAAATCTGGGCTTCAAAGCATTGCAATGGAAATTTATAATCTTTGTCTCCAAGGTCAGATTCAGTTGGAAATGCAGTGGATACCCCGGTCAGAAAATGAGAGATCAGATTACCTTAGCAAGCTTGTGGACACGGACGATTGGGGAATCACTGATTTTGTATATCAGCACATACAGAGTATATGGGGTCCATATGATAAAGATGTATTTGCCTCGTATTATAACAAAAAGGTTGCTAGGTTTTATCCAGATATTGGAATCCTGGATCATGTGGTGTGGATGCATTTACCATGAGTAGACTTTCCGACATCTGGTCTACTACCTTGCCTGCATAACTCGGCCAAGGCAATGTCTGGTGGATGTGTTGAGATGATATAGGAGCATGACATCCCCCATAGCATCTTAGGTGGCAAATCTTCTGTCATAGGAGGTTGGAGTGCAGTCATGAGGTGATGTAACTCCTCCATGAGCACAAAATATATCCCTCCATATAATCCCACTGGGGTGAGTCGTCAGCATGATTAATCTCTTCATAAAACTCTGCTTCCGCTTTCGCCTCCGACCGTCCGTAGATAGCTCCAGGACGGTGGATATTTGTAATATTTTGTACACTCCACGTGTTCACCGTGCGTTTCTTCATCCGCTGGTGTCCAGAATTCCAGTATGATTTTGGCCCGTAAGGCTTGTGATGGCTGCCTGTGTACGATAATCTTCATGTCGGTCGGTTAGACTGTCCCATGTAGTCCATGCGGTTGGCTTGGGTACCCTCGGTTGATGGTGATCATTAGTAGGACGGTCAGCAGGTTTACCAAGTCCGTGTGGTAACCTTACAGTGTCTTAGCTGGGTGGTATGGCCTTGCGGTACCCTTAGTTACAGCCTCAACTTTTTAGAAGGCTTTCGTAGCTGTTGGCACACTGCTTGCATCTAGCCTCCTCTGTACATATGACCCCTCTGCACTTCCAGCAGGTGCAATGAGGATCTGCCATGATGCATGAAAGACCACACTTCTTACAACCAGGTTTGGTGTGGGTTTTTTGTTTAATGCTGCACTCAGCAATATTCCAGCTGTATGACGGTGGTCTGTAAATAATCAAGTCTGGACCAGACAATCCAGTGATTGATATCATGAGCATTGCAACCAGGAGTAAAGGAAGACTCCATTACAAGCTTCAACGCACATCACACCAGCTTATACTCACTGTGTGTGCGATCGTCACTCCAATTAGCAACTATTAATATTGACATACTGTGTCTGTTCTATTGAAAACTATTAGAATAATCTTAGACTAATATGACTACTACCAAGTGCTAGATCTTTGCAACTACAAAAATAGGTGTTGACTCCAGCACTCACAGAAAAGAAGAGAAATTCCCGTCATTACGCACATCATAGCTTGGGTTGCTATTGTGCTATATGGGGAACAACTAAAAGTGTGATTGTCAGTGAAGAGGACTTCTGTTGACAATCTGAAAATTTAGTTAGTGTGACTGAAGCCAAAATACAGGATTAATTCCTATTTCATAATACAGTATGAGTCATAATTATTGAGAATTGAAAAATCTTTAAAATTGTAAATATGAAAATTTCCCCTACAAAAAATAAAACATATTTTAAGTGAGCACAAACCTTCTTTAATCACATCATAGTAACATCAATATTTTTTCAGACCACCATTTGCTCCCAGACAGTTTTATACGATTGGGCATACTTCCTATGAGAGAGGTTAGAGTCTTGTGGGTGAGAGAGTCCCAATATCGCACCACCTCGCGCTTCATGTCATCAACTTTTGTCAATCCCTTTTGGTTCATCGACTCCTTCATGAGTCCCCACACATTTTCTATAGGATTTAAGTCCAGGCTGTAGCTAGGCCAGTCCAAAACGGTCACATTGTTGTCCACAAACCACTGCCGTGCATGTCTTGCGGCGTGTTTGGGGTCATTATCCTGTTGCAAAATTTAAGTATTTCCATAAAAAACATCTGCATTTGGGATCAGGTGAGCTTCCAAAATGTCTGTATACCTTTCACTGGTTAAATTACCCTCAAAGACACACATGGGCATTGTTCCAAGTGAAGATATCCCTCCCCAAACATGAAACTTCGGACTGTACTTTGGTCTCTGGTACAATTGAACGGAATGACATTTTGTCCACATTTTAACATTGTTAGGATACACCCATACAGAGCTCTGATCTGTGAAAATAACACTGTTCCAGTCAAAGTTTTCATGCGCCAAACACCACTCTACACGTCTATCCTTGCGGAGAGGCAATTCCTTTCTTTTTTTCCCATCCAAATTCAATCAAATTTCTTCTTACTGTAGATTTGGATACATTTACTGTCCCTCTATTTACCATATCATGTTTGGTATTTGAGATATTCGCCCTTCTGTTTTTAGAACACAAAATACCTAGTCTCACACGATCACCAAACACCAGTTTTCGAGGTCTCCCCGCTCCCTTTCTGTGCTCAATTCCTGAACCGTTTCCAATATTCTTCTTAACTCCATGCACTGTAGAATGAGGAGTATCTGTGCTCTTTGCTAATGTAGCAGCATCAGTGATGCCTACATCATGGAGCTGTAGAATCAACCTTCTTTTCTCCTCTGCACTCATTTCTGACATATATCAGGAAAAGTCGTCTGCTCCATAATCAAGGGAGATAACTCTAATTTGCAACTTCTAAAATTGAAGAAGAGTTGCTTCCCTTTGACCATACCACATGTTTAAACACGTGTCAATATTGATATTTTATGTATGCTTCTTTGAATATGACATTAAATTCTCAATAATTTTGAACCAGACTGTAAGTGTAACCCTGGAGTGGAATCATTTTAATCCGAGTTTCAGCAAGAAGAATATTCCCAACGGATTTACTACTTGATAAAAAATGGTATTGACTTTTGTATCCTATTTACTGCAAAAATGATCTTTTCATGAATTATCTGCAACATGTCTGTGTCCTTATAATGAATGCAAAATATATACATACAGCCGCAAAACATCCCAGCAAACTAAATAATGTCAGGATTGTTTTTTTCATTGAGCTGCTAGTTTGAAATATTGAAATAAGGAGCTAACAGATATGTCAGTAAAACAAGCAAATTAAAGAAATGGATGATTATAGCTTTCTAAATCCTCATAATATGATGGATTTCATTGTTTTAGAGCAGCAAACAGTGACACTAACAAGCACACATATTGAGCGTGTAATAATTGTATTTGCATTGATATTTGCTTGAACAACAAAAAGTAAACATATACAGTTACAGTGTCAAACTGGAGCTGTGACAAGGTATGATGACTATATATTTGTTCACCTATAGCGGCAAAACCAGATATTTTATCTATTAACTATCCAGCATAAATTTTGTTTGGGAAAAGCATCTAGAAAAGAAAAAAGCAAGATTTCATTTTTGTGAACGGACTTGTATCAGTTCGTAGACAGGAATTTCTTAAATACTACGTACCCAGCACTTCCAACTTTTGTCCACAGTCAGGGATGATTTGTCCTCCTGAGTCTGGTGAGCCTCTGTAGCACCTGTACTGACCTTCGTCTTCCCAGGTTACATCAGAGAGCATGAATCTGAACAAACCAGTTCCCGATGATGACACGTTTCCAATGAATCTCACTCTAGATGTGAACTTGTCACTGGCAGCTCTGACATCATTATATCCTGTGATGTGAAGAAGACATTTCATTGTCTCACTCTTGCACACACTGAACTTCCTGATCCCACGCTCCGGGAGAGTCCATGACAACGTGGCATAGCCGCCAAACCTGGCATGTTCATTTGTAGTCACTGGAAAACAGAAGATTTTGAAAGTATGACCAAGGTAGACACTTGCAAACATCTATCACCTTTGAAACGCAGTGTGAACAAGAAAGAAGTGAGCAAAGCTCACATACCCCCATTATCCCCGCTGGTCAACAACAAATAGTAAATAGTTTGTTAATTAATGAAATATACCTGTTGCTTTAAGTCAGAGGAACTCCCCTTTCCTTTGTAACCCCATGAGGATGCACTAGTGTGGGATAATCAATGCTTAGCACAACATACATTCTTGATGTTTCTTAATGTGTCCATGGAAACGGCAAAAAATTAAAAATTCAGAATCTTCAAACTAGCAAAAGGCACAAGTACTCATTGTGGTTAATGTGTGTAGCACGTTTGGTGAAGCTAGGGTGCATGGTTAAAAAGTTATGGGCCGTACAAAACACCTACCCTAAAAGTTTAAGTTTCTTAATGTTTCCATGGAAAGGGCAAAAATTAAAAAGTTCAGAATCTACAAACTAGCAAAAGGCACAAGTACTCATTGTGGTAAATGTGAGGCTAGGGTGCATGGTTAAAAAGTTATGGGCCGTACAAAAGCTCGGACGGACGGACGGAACGCTATATACCCCCGATTTACTTCGTAAACGGGGGTATAATTATTTATAAAACTTTGTTTGCAACAACGGCAAAAAAAAACAACACATTAAGTTAGCAGTGTACCTCATGTACATTTAAAACACAGATTACTGTATATATACTGTATCTATACTGTATAACATATATATATATATACTGAGTTTAGACAAAAGACATTTTTCTCCATCAGCCTGATTATGGTCATACATGGGGAAATAAGAGTGTATATGTGGCAGTGTTTATATACCTGTACTCTGCCTTTCTTTTAGCATTACAATATTATATACAACTCAAAGTTTGCTAAGGATCACATCTTTTATGCAACATGAAATTATGATATGAAGTGATATTGGAAGAACACCAGGTACACAATGATTGGGTGACCCCTCTGGAGCCACACTACCACACTAACAAGGTAATGGCATGCTGTGATGGACACCATATGCACGTGATGGATGATAACCACAGCTGCCACCGTTGTGACTGTTTGTCATTGGAACCTTGCATTCCGTTGTTTGAAAGCCTGACAAGCGTTGATAGCAATTACTGAAAACAGAAATGCCCCTTCAACATCAACGACATCGTTTGACAGTCGAGGAGTTAGCAATACAACGCCACATTGTCAACGTCCTTGGTGTGAGTCAAAGGATGGAATCCGTAGCAGATTCATGGTTGAGCAGCCCAGCGACATGGAGATGGTTGTGAACGTTCCAGCACACAGCAACATGACCGGTTTCTCTTGCTCTCAGCAAAACATCATCACTTTGTGACGGCAACCACGCTCAGAAATGAACTGCAGAATGCCAATGGAGTAAACATTTCAACTAAGGCAGTCCAGGAGGCTGGCCGTCAGTCAAGAAGACCATGCATTCGCATCCCTCTTACCCAGCGTCACAGGCAAGCATGTTTAGATTCGGTGAGAGATCATGCCAATTGGACAATCAATGATTGGACATCCGCACTCTTCACAGACGAGTCACGGTACTGTTTAGACTTCACTGATTGACGTGCTCGGGGGTGGCATAGAGCAGGAGAGCTATTTCAGAACGCTAACATAGCCGAACATGACAGATGGGGAGGTGGCTCAAAAATGGAATGGGATGGAATCAGCTGGGCTGGGAGAACTATCTCCATGTGTAAGTGATGGACACAATGACAGATGAGTGTTACAGGGATGAGATCTTGGATGTGTGAGTGAGACTGTATGCTGGTGCAGTTGGTCCGGACTTCATCCTCATGGACCATAAAGCACGTCCCCATCATGCCAGAGTGGTTGATGCTTACCTTGAGCAAGAGACAATTGTCCATATGGTGTGTCCAGCTCGGTCACTGGAACTCAACTTGATCGAACACCTTTGGAACATGCTTCAGGTGTCCCATCACGTTGTCCTGTGTTTCGGGTTTTCTACAAGAACTCGGAATTGCTCTCACACAAGAGGGGAACAATCTTACCTTGGCATCCATCCAGACGCTTTTTGGAAGCATGAGATGACGGTGCAAGGCTGTCATCGCATCTTGTGGATCACATACACGCTATTGACAGTTGATCTGCACGATTTTGTCAATGGTTATTTGTATTTGTCATTGGGATTTTTTTTTCAAATTTGGAAAATGTGATCCTCAGCCAACTTAGTAATACTTTGAGTGAGTGATCTTCTGTATTTCAGCTATATTGTGACTAGAGCAATTTATACATTAATAATACACCAATTTAGACGACAGTAAAAAAAACTAAACTTATCACAGAAATATATTTAAAACTAGTATGTTACCATGAAAAGATATTACTATTCATGACAATTCACTTTAAAAGCAGGCTTTAGATCACCAGCAACTGGAGGTAGATCACCAACAAACATGTGTTTGTTATTTAAAGCCACACTCATTAAAATTCCAGATGAAGGTTGTTTGTAAATGATCTGGTCCTGACATATCATTAACATCCTTGCCATTGGCACACGATGACATGCAATCAACCACGGCACAGAGCCTGACCACGTGATCCAGTACGTCATCTCTTGCGACAAGCATAGGTTGTTGGGAACCCCATATTCCTACCTTGAATCTCCAAGGGTCAAAGAGACATACTGGTAGGAGTAATTTTACCATATTTGCTGTTGCTGTTTCAGTAATTTTTCCCTGCACATGTTCTTTGCATGATGCATGAAAGATATACAGTATTTCTGAGCAGGAAACATAAACATGTAAAAGTATAGCATTTCTATTAGTGTATGACATTTTCTAGAATGCGCATGGCAGACACTCTGACAATGACGGGTCAGATACAGAGTAAAGAGAGCATCCAGGAATAACAGACGATCAGTCCTGAGTGAAATGCTTTATTAAGTCCCAAGCCATGGCAAGTAGCTTTGGACATTATTTCATGAGGGACAAATAATCTGTAATTCCGAGTTGGAAGAAGGTTATTCTATATATTATTCTATCAGTTGCAATGTGTTTGATATAACGTCACACGGCTTGGTTGGGTTGGTTTGTTGTTTAACGCCGCACTCAGCAATATTCCAGCTATATGATGGCAGTCTGTAAATAATCGAGTCTGGACCAGACAATCCAGTGATTAATATCATGAGCATCGATCCACACAATTGGGAGCGATGACATGCATCACCCAAGTCAGCGAGCCTAACCACCCGATCCTGTTAGTCGCCTTTTACGACAAGCATAGTCGCCTTTTTCGGCAAGCATGGGTTGCAGAAGACCTATTCAACCCAGGAAGCTTCACAGGGTCGATATTCTTGTCCTCAGGGATATTACTGAAAATGTATCAACAACAAAACAACCACAAACCACATTAATTTTGTTGGTTTTCTCATACTGGTTAAGTGTGGGATATTTGGAGTTGTAAGTTTCCGATAATCTAATGCTCTGACATCTCAAACCAATTTACATAGCTCTTTATTTCTTGGTGTTGGATTACAGTAACCAGTCTATAGTGACTCTCGGTGACAAGAATACATGAGGCACCTCTTTTCATGCACCCTTACTTCAGATAACATTTAAACACTATTTTGTAGACCTAGCAGAGGCTTTTTCAGAAAAATTTAAGGTCAGCTTTTCAACAATAATAGTCTACCAAAATTAAAATATCGAACATTCTTAGAACTATTAACAATGATAACTATTGTTCGATAATTCTTACGAACTTCTACCTCTATACCAGAGAGACCCGGTGAGATCTGCCTCTAGTAACTCCCAGTGTAATTGACAGCAATCCTCTTCTGGAAACCATTATTTACTGATTCTAATCCTACTTGAGATAATTTCCTCTGAAATTCCCCTTGAGGACTTGAAAATAAGAAATGTGTCAAGAATCAGTCAAATATGTGATATTTTTACCAGATTTACAGTTATATTTGCTGATCTTGATTGTAATAAACTTTGATTTGTGACTTTAATACGGGCGATTACGTCACTTCCTGTTATGACGTCACTTCCGGTATGTCACTTCCCCTTTTTATGGTAATGACATCTCTCTAGGTCTATTTCTACCCAAAGACGTCATTGCCAAGTTAGAAGAACCCTGTTCTGCGATTTTTGGTGCTGACGTCACTTCCAGTAATGACATCACTTCTGGTCAAATGGTGATAGTGGATATTAAAGGTGCTTCTAATCCATCCTACACCCAATAGAAAGAATAATCAGGGTGTACTCACCTCTGATGCTGCTTGTGTCAGATCCTTTTTTTCGATAGAAGGGGTAAAACTATTGGTGGACGATAGTTTGTGCCGCGACAAAATGACCAAGGGAATATATGCCCTTAAAGTCCGGCTGTACGGCATGCAAGTAAAAGCTGGTGAAGGTGTTCTGTGAGGCCCACTGACAGCTGGAAACTACTTATTCTACTGAGACTGATGTCCATAAAGCGAGGCTCGTGGTTAGGGCTCTGATCTCATGAGCTGAGCAGGATCCAAGACGTGGTGTGGAATACTGTGCCTGTGTATAACTCGCTGCAACGGTAGTTTTAAGCCAGCCGTTATTGTAGCCTTGTTGATGTCTCTGTTGGACTGATAAAGAGTCTCCTTCAATGGCGTCTATGTGGGTCTGTAGCCGAGAGAGCTCTGATGGGACATAAAAGTCTGTCTGGGTGATCCACTGTTGGTCCTTATGCAGGAATGGTATAGTGTCTATGGCCCAACAGCCCCATTGTGGTTGATTGATTCTTGGCTTCCAAATCCGATTCTTGGCTACAAAATCTGGTAGCGATCTTAGAGTGATTAAGGTCCAATGTTGATCATGAGTGAGACTAGAATAGTCCAAGGCATGGAGTTCTGAAACTCTTGCTGCTGTCACCATGGCTAGGAGGAAGGATGCTTTCCTGGATTTTTGGAGTAAGGTAGCCTCAGCCATGGGCTCGTAAGGTTCCGTTAAAA